CTGATGTGATTCTGCAATCTGTATTTGGGGTAAAAATGGGAGTTCATAACCCACTTGAATCAAATGTATGAAATATGATATGTCAAGAGCTTTGTAATTTTTTGAACAACCAATAAAAAAAAATTTAAAAGGACTGAGGATGTACTTCAGTGGTTAATCACCCGAGGTAAAATCCTCAGTACCAAAAAAGTAAATAAATAAAACACAGGAAAAAAGAGTCTTTAAAAAATAATTGTAAAAGGTAAGAATTAGTGAGACATTTTTTAAAATAAGTGTTTTACTATTCTTTCATGAGCAACAATAATTTGTAATGTGTTTAGGGGAGGGGTCTTTTTGTTTATCTGAATTCAATTTATGTAACAAACTGTAAGAAGAAATCAGTGACCAGATATTTCTTCTCATTCCTTTTTTTCTTATTTGGCCAATTAATTCCTTCTTTGCTTGCTTTCTTCTCACTTTCTCCCTCACTCACTCCCTTCCTCCTTCCCCTCCTCTTTCCCTTGCCTTTTTTCTTCCTTCTTTGATAAGAAAATGAATTTTCTGAATATCCATAACACTTATCAACTATTCCCTTGAACTTTGTGTCTACAGATACATCTTTAAAGAAAAAAGAAAGAGAAGAGTAATTACTCAATAAAGACTATCTAAGAACATCAAAGAACACTTACCTATGTCATTTAAGGTCCAACGTGTAATATCAGATATAGCTACACCATCTTTATTTTCAGCTTCCACTTTAATGGTGAAGTAATCTGGGGGTGTTATAGTTGGACGGAAAAAAGAACACGAAGCACCTGTCGAACTATTGGCTTTACAAATGTCACGTTTTTTTCCAAAAGAGCTTTGAAGGAAAAAAATTATTCAATATGAGGTTAGTATAGTATTTTGGAAATGTAGTCATACTTAATATATTAAGCTGTATTTTTTAGTTTTACTCTGGGTTTCTCTTGAGGTCCAGGATGTTCGTTTCTTGGCTCAGGATTTGGTTTCCTTCTGCTTCAAAGAGAGGTCAAAGTTACCTGCTTATTTTCTCCTGAGATACTATGAGCCTTCGAGACCTCCTTGGAAACCCTGTGAGCCCACTTAAAAGCCAATCATAATGCTTTTCCTATTGGCAAGAAATAATGTATTGGCCTCTGAAGTTCCAGATTATAGTTTTGAGGATTTATTATTTTTTAAAAGTCAAAGAGAATTTGTTAAATAAATTATGGTGGACGTATAAGTAGGATTTTAACCAATGCTCTTTAATATATCTATATTTACTCATATGTAAAGATGGCTATATTCTGTTTTTGGTGAAAAAAAAACAGATGCATATCAAATTTGTAATGACCACCGTTGTATCAACATACATATTTATGTAACTATTCTAAAGATAGTTGGAAAGGCCCTAGTAAAATTGTTAAAGTTGTCACCTTTGAGTCTGTGATTTTTTAACATTCTTTATGTTTCAGATTGGACTTTTATCACTAGCATATATTGTTTTCAGAATATTCATTAAAACACATAGATGGCCAGGTTTAGCAGTACACACTTGTAATCCTGGCCACTGGGAAGGTTGATATAGGAGGATCACAAGTTCAAAGCCAGCCTCAACAACTTATCAAGGCCCTAAGCAACTTAGCAAGACCCTATCTCAAAATAAAAAATAATGAGGGCTGGGGATGTGACTCAGTGGCTGAGTGCCCCTGGGTTTAACATAGATGATGATGATGGATAGATCCTATTAAGCTGTAACTTTTACCTATAGTAGCAGGAATCAGATGGGTGGGTAGAACCATAGCAAACATGATTCTGGGAATTGCAAAGGAGACAGAGACGAACATAAAAGGAAGTTCAACATGTAATGTGCCAGTGTCTGTTGGGGTGGGAGAAAGGAAAAGAGCTTAGACACATAGATTATTATTATTTTTGTGTGTGTGTGTGTGGTGCTGGGGATTGAACCCAAGGCCTTTTGTGATTGTGAGGCAAGCACTCTATCAACTGAGCTATATATATCCCCAGCCCAAATCATAGAATCTTGAAAACAGAAAGGATCTCAAGGATTTATGATAGTTATTACACCAAGAAAAATGTACCCTCAAGGTAGCATTGCAGATGCAGCCTCTGGAAGGAGATTGATCTCTGTCAAAACTACTAAACACTACTGCAGTAGCCCCCAAACTGCTGTAGACAATTTGTGATGAATAGGCAAGACTGGTTTCCAGTAAAACCTTACTTGTGGACACTGAAATTTGAATTTTATTATAATTTTCATATGGCACCAAGTTTTCTTCTTATGATTTATGCTTTTGACCATTTTGACAACATAAAACAATAAGTCTATGGGCCATATAAATTCAAGAGAATGGGTTGTGTCTGACCTGCAGGCTAATTTCCCCACCTCTGCTGTACTGTCTGATCCTTTACAGAAAGTTTACTGAGTCCTGTCTGAAAGCATTGATCTGACATAGATGCTCATTGATACATTGATACTGCAAAAAATAGTGTTTGCCTTTTCCCTTTCTTTGTAAAACAACAACAACAAAAAAAAATAATTTCCCTTTCAGGACAAGATCTTCTGCTTAAAAAAAAAAAAGTTATAGGCTTTCTTTTTAAAACGGATAAGATAGTAGTTCATCTTGCAATGGTCTCAATATAAGTCCCTTTATTTTTAGGGGAACAACAAGAAAATAATGTTTTATGAGCTATTTTCAACATTTTTTTAAAAGTACACATATAAAAACACCTAACTTTTGACTGGGATGATGATTTTTAATTATAGAAGTTTTATTCTAATAGAAACAGAATTAAAAGGGATGCTTTCAATAGTAAAGAAAATTTGGGAATCATTGTCATGGTGGAATACTGTTTAGGGTTATACAATAAATTAGTGGCAGACTGAGGTAAATCCACTTCTCAGTGCTAGATCATAGCTCCACTTACTCTATCTTCATCCATGAAGAATGGACAGTTGTATAACATGCTGGAAGGATGAGGGGTATGTTGAATATAAGAAATAAACAGACTTTTCCACTCTGCTTGTAACTAATGACTATTCTCAGCCAATCCAGCAGCTCTAAGAGGAGGTCATCATGTGGCTCTATGTCCCCTCTCCATGTAGCTGCAGATCCTGTCTGCATGGATGTAAGTAGCCAAGATGTTACCCTAGCCACTGGAAAGACAAAGTGGCCATACAGAAATTGTAACTGAGAAAACATTTTACTTCCTAAGCAGTTTTGCTCATCAGTGCATCAGAAGCCTCTGCCTCTTCCCATGGCCCCCACTGAAAGAACACATACTCCCATACTTACTAAGTTCTATTAACAACGTATGTGGTATAATTGATTTCCTTCTTTGGACTCCAAGTGCAAGTTAAATTTTTCTTATAATATAATATACAAGAAATGTTCTCAGGCTTTGCTGGCAGAGCTAAAAAAAATTTACATAGACAAAATTTTAGTACACAATAAATATTGTCATCATTAAAAATTTCATTGAAAACGGGCTTACCAAAAGCTGGGTTTGTTGGTTTAGTTGCTAGATAATAAGTTCTCCTAATCAGATTCACGAAGGACTCTAATTCTAGCTCTTCTAATTTTTTTATTATTCCCTTTGAAGAGTTAGAATTCTACTTTTTAATAATTACATTTTATATTCTTAAGAAATAACATTTGAGAAATAAAAATTATTTTTTAAAAAACAGGCAAATATTAAGCATTAGTTAAATACTAAGTAAAGCATTAAATTATAGAACCATTCTGGATAATTGGGAAACAGATCATGTGAGCAAGCTCAAAATGCTGAACTATGCCACACTTCAACTGTAAGTTACTGATGCAAAAGATTCAATAATTGGGGATGGAGTAGTGGCTCAGTGGTAGAGCATTGCCTGGCATGTGTGAGGCACTGGCTTCAATTCTCAGCATTGCATATAAATAAATAAAATAAAGGTCCATTGACAACTAAAAAATATTTTTTAAAAAGATCCAATTATTTTCTTTTCCCAGAATATAGTATAATAGAGAAATATCTTCAGCTGAATTTTCATATCTTGTTCCAGATAGTTCCCCACCCAGGAGAATAACTAGATACAGGGATAAGAACCAGGATCTAGACACTTATGGAGTCCATAGGTAGAATTCAGGGGTCCAGGAACTTTAATGGGAAAACATCTACATCTTTATTTTTCACTAATCTATTGTTGAAACTTAGAATTTCCTTCTATCATGAATGTAGTCAACAAACTACAATAATAATATATAATCATTATTATGTGTTTAGTTTAGGCTCTTAAAATTTTTTAAAAGGCTCTAGATATGTGTATTTACATATATATTTATATATTTAATTTAAAAAATGAGCATTGTCTGCATGAGTAAAGGAGCCCCTAAAAATAACAAATAGGAATAAGGAAGAGCCATATGCCTTCATATTACGTCAATATTTCTAGCTCTTTCCAGAGAAGTTGCTTCCTCTAAGTCCTTCACTTTGCTACTTGCATACCGAAAACCACAAGAAAGCTTTTGATCTCCAAGTCCAAATGCTTATCAAGACCAAAATTAATGGAACCTGAACCAAATAATGCAGTTTATTACATGAAGACTAGAAGCTGCACCATTAATACATTCCACAAAGGGCCCACATAGTTTAAAACTTTCCCCATGGAGTCCTTGGGTGGGTAAAAATATTCACAGCCGTGGGGAACGTGCAAAGTCTAGAATAAGGGGAACTAAGGGCCAGTCAACAATGTCTTGAGAGTCTGGCACACTCACCAAGTCACTCCTATCTCCACGGCTCAGAGAGAATGTCAGTATGTGAATGTATGTGCATGTGTGTGTGTGCTATGTGTGATCTCACTCAGATATGAAATCTAAAAACGATGATCTCATGAAAGTAGAGCACATAATGGTGGTTACCAGGTGCTTGGGTGGTTAGGAGAAATGGGAGATGAGAAAATATTGGTCAAAGAATATAGAATTATAAATAGACGTTATATTTTTTTAATGTCCATAAATAGGGATAGAAAAGAGACAAGCAATTTCCTTGGGCTGAAAGAGGGAAGATTTTTGGGGGAGAAGGAGAGAAATAGTGAATGACTACTAACTGTCATAAAGCTTCTCTTTTGGGTCATGAAAACTATAGTAATAGCTGCACAATTCTGTAAGCATAACAATTACCAGTGTCTTATAAACTTTCTTTTTTTGTTTGTTTTAAAAAATTTTTTAGTTGTATATGGACACAATGCCTTTATTTATTTATTTATTTATTTATTTATATGTAGTGCTGAGGATCAAATCCAATGCCTCATGATGCTAGGCAACAGCTCTACCACTAAGCTATAGCCCTAGCCTGGATTGAATATTTTCAATGGATAGATTATATCATATATGAATTTGATCTCAATTGTTTTTAAAGAATCTAATTCATATAAAAGAAGCAGCTTTGGTTAACATATATTCAAAGTCATAAGCCATAAAATATATCACATATCTGGTCTTCAGGACTAAAAATATCACAGGCATTAGGAGACAAGAAAAAAAGTAACAAAAAAAAAAATGGAATTCCATTCAACCTGGGTTGTTTATATGGGGCTACAATTGTTTTGCCCTTACTACTTGCCATGTAGCAAGAGAGACCAATAGTCTAAAGAAGGACATTTGATACTGGTATTAGAAATTTGTGCTAAATAAAATGAATACTCATCAATATGTTCAATGTTCATCAATATGTCCTTCTCTTTGACATATAGGAAGATTTTATTTCCTTGGTGCTTTGAACTCAGGCATGGGCATGCAATTCGTCTTGACCATTGACATATGAGAAGAAGGACTTAAACTCTGGTAAATAATGCCTTCCTTACCCTCCCACAGCCCAACATGTATTGATTCTTAATTTTTCAGCATAAAATGGAATGAAACTAACATATCTTAGATCTGCACAATATTCTATGGATATTAGGCCCGTAGTGTTGGGTTGGTACATCGTAGAAATATGCTGTTGCTTCATTTCCCTTCATATCCTTGGAATTCATGGCAAAAAAATGTAAAAATTATCTATTTTTGTATTTACGTGTGTGTCTGTGTGTGTGTGTGTGTGTGTTATATAAATCAACACAAAAACTAAGGAGACAAGCTCTTACCATCATACTCTCACAGTGATCTTAACTTTTTGGAGGTCATATAAGCCATCTTGCCAAACTTGCATATATAGGGGTATATTTAAACTTTCAAGTACAGATGTGCTTGTATACACACACACACAACGTACACAAATTCAGGGCATTCACAAATTCCCTATTGTCTAGAAGTGGGTGTCTTTTGGCACTGAAGTTAAAAATTCTTTTCCAAAGAAGGCAATAGGATAACCACCAGATCCATAAAAGGGTCAGGCTGACCTACCTGTCAGGCTGAATTTGTAGAGTAAAGGAAGTATCCATAGTGCCAAGATCCACATTTTCCTGAATTAGCTCACGAAGGCTGGAGAGAGAGAGAGAGCTGAAAATGTCACCAGAGAGATTATTTCCTAAGTCTTTCCAACAACCCCTTTCAAGTGACAAACAGATACTTGAGTAGGAAGGGTTTTATTTTTATTCAATTGTATTCTGTTTTGTTGGCTGTGAACATAAATCTCTTCATAATCACTCCATCAACCCCAGATGTTATCACACAAATGTGTGATAACAATATATTTTCCTTTAGTCCATACTGCACTCTACTATGTAATATGAAAACTACAACCACCACCAAGAATCTGCTTCATGAAAAAAAATACTGTTTCTGTACCACTCTGAAGTCATCCTCTGGCCTTTGCCTCAGTTCCCAAGTATTCCAGGCAAATGGAACAACTCACAGTTTCCCAAAAGTACCATACTAGGCACATATCCATGCTTTGTACATTCATCCAATGCCCCTTTCCCTTTGTGATATTATTATTATTATTATTATTATCTTCATCAAAACTGCCTCCCCCCAAGACAGGTCATAGAAACTAGAATTTCTCTTTTCCAAGTTGGGTCATAGAAACTCAAACCTTCTTCTGCTTTTGTCTTGGAGCTGGACATAATTAAATTCTCTGACCTATTCAATAGACCATAGGACTCCCCTCATCCACAGGGATCCTTCCCCATAGTTGAGGAAAAAACACTACACATACAGGTTTTGTTGGTTTTTTTCCAGTCTATTAGTAATCATGCCTATGCAATTAAGTCTCCATAAAAATCAAAAGGACAGGGGTCCAGGAGCTTCCAGATAGCTAAACAGGTGGACATTCCCAAAGAGTGGTGGAAGTTCTGCACCCCTCCCCCAATATCTGTATTCTTTGTAATATTATTTATAATATGGTATATATAATATAACCTTGTATATATACATAATATTGTATTAATATATGTATTATTCTTTATAATAAACCAATAAACCTGTTTCCCTGGGTTCTGTGAGCCATTTAAACAAATTAATTGAATCCAAGTAGGAAGTTGTAAACTCCAACTTCTAGCCAATCAGAAGCACAGAAAAAACAACCCAGGTTTTATCGTGGCATCTAAAATTGGGGAGAGGGATTTTTGGAGACTGAGCCTCCAACATGTGGGATCTACTGCTACCTCCAGCAGAATATAATTGGATTACAGGATACCCAGCCATATCTGCTGCTGCAGAACTAATTGTTTGTTTGCTGGTGGGAGAAATCCCTACCCACCTGATGTCAGAAGAATTATGTGATGATTATGGTATGAGATTAGAAGAAAATCAAGACATTTTATTTTTCCTGACACACACCCTTATTCCTGGGCAAATTAAACATCTTCCAAACTCATCTCAAAGCTAGCCTTCTCTAAAATGCTGTCCCTGAATTCTCACACAGAGCTGAGCAGTCAATTCCTCCTTTGAGTCACCCCTTCCAACATGTCGTCTGTGCTATGGCCCCTGTCACAGAAAATACTGTGTAATAGTTTACTTGCTAACTTCCCCATACACAGCCAGTTTTGTGAAAGTGAAACCTCTCTGATGCCTCTTTGAGGCCTTGTTATTCAAGGTAATGTCTGTTACATGTTAGACATTCAATATTGCTTGTGTATCCTAGGGGCTTATTAGAACAAAAAGATTCCTGGCTCCTTGTCTTATCCTAGATGAGATGGTGACAGAGTCTAAAAATAAAAGACATGCAAAAACAGTAACTCATTATTTCAGAAGAAATGAATGATGCTACATTTCATTTGACACATCCATAAGGAAAAAGGGTTTTCAATAAAATAAATCATTTCAGAAAAGGTCACATGCAGTTTTTACAAAGATAAAATTTTCCCATATATGTACCAACTGAAATATATAAGTAATCCAACATGCCTGAAGTGATAAAGCAGAATGAGAATGTAGATTTATAAACATAAAGATATCACCAATAAAAACTGGTCACAGGCTTCCAGGTAAGAGGTGGAATAAAAGTGTCTTTTATGTGATTTACAAGAGTCAGGGCGACAAAAGAGAAATTATATTTTCAGAAGAAAAGAGAGGAAGGGCCCTGAGAATGAAGAAAGAGGTAATGGGAAAACTAAAAAGCAGAGAAAAACAAAAAGGCAACTCAGAGAAAAGCATAAAGCAGTCCATGACCCTAACCCTGGCCCCAGGTAGAGAGGGAAACCTGATGATGCCGCAAGTACGAGTTATTGTTACCATGGTTTGTTTTCTCCTGAGTTGTACTGGGGACCAAGCCATCAAGTAAAGGATGCTAAGATGATCCTTACATAAAAGGGGAAGAGAAAACCAACTCAAAAGATGCACAAATCTCAATACAGAAACACAAGAAACACACACACACAAAATGAAAAAACAAGGCAATATAACTCTTCCAAAGGTTCATAACTCTTCATTAACTGAACCCAAAGACATCAAAGTAGATAAAATGCCAAAGAATTCAAAAGATTGATTTTTAAAATGATCAAGGACATCAAAGAAGATACAAATAAACAACTGATGAATTAAGGAAGAGAATACAAGATATGAGAAAACAATTCAATAGAGATAACAATTCTGAAAATAAACTAGTCATAAATCTTAGGGAAACAAAAAACTCAACTGCAAACCTCACCAATTATTTTGATTTGGTTATGAGGAGTCCCCCAGAAGCTCGTGTGTGAAAAATGCAGAAATATTCAGAGGTGAATTGATTAGATTATGAGAGCTGTGACCTAATATATGGATTAATTAATTAGATGGATTAATGATTTGAATGAATCAATGGGTGATAATTATAAGCAAGTAGGGTATGAATGATGGAACTAAATCACAGGAGGTTTCCCTTGGGAATTTATTATCCTTGACTCCTTGCACTCAAGATCTCTGATTGCTGGCTGTCATGAATTGAGTAGTTTTTCTCTGTCATGCCCTTCTGCATGATGTTTTGCCTCACCTTAGACCCAGAACTATGCAGTCGGTGAACCATGAAGTGAACCTCTTAAATTGTGAGCCAAAATAAACTTTTCCTCTTTGTCAGGTCTTTTGGTCACAGTGATAAAAAGCTGATTAACATAAAAGTACCAAGATTTGAAGACAAAGATTACAAATTATCACATTCAGAGAGTATTAAAGGGAAAAAAGAAATCACAAAGAGGACATACGATACCTATGGGATAAAATTTAAAGACCAAACCTAAATAATTGGTTTAGACAAAAGAGCCAAGGTACAGACTAGAGGCATAGAAAATCTGTTCCATAAAATAACAGGAGAAAATCTCCTTAATCTTAGGAGATGCTTACATCAAAGTAAAGGATTCATTTAGATAATGACCAGAAAAACAACATCTCCATGTCATATTGTAGTTAAATTGCCAAAAGTACACAACAAAGAAAGAATATTGAAAGCTGAAAGAGAGAGGTGCCAAGTCATTTATTAAGGCATATCCATTATATTAACACCATATTTCTCACCAGAAACTCTAAAAGCCAGGAGGGTGTAAAGTATTATAATTCAAACCCTACAAACAAAACAAACTGCTAATCTTCCAGTAATCTTTCAGAATTGAAAGTGAAATAAAACCTTCCAAGATAAGCATAAACTAAAGGAATTAATGATCACTAAATCGGAATTACAGAAGATACTTAAGGGATCCTATACATAAAGGATAAGGCAAGACAAACACAATCATAAAAGCATGGGAAAGAATAAATCTTACTAGAAAAGTTCACAATCAAATGAGAATTAAGAATCAAACAAGATTTGCATTGTTGGTGGGACTGCAAATTAGTGTGAACACTTTGGAAAGCAATATGGAGATTCCTCAAAAAATTGGGAATGGAACCACCATATGGCCCAGCTATCCCACTTCTTGGTATATATCCAAAGGATTTCAAACCAGCATACTACAATGACACAGTCACATCAATGTTTATAGCAGCACAATTCACAACAGCCAAGCTATGGAGCCAACTGAGGTGCCTTTGAACAGATGAATGGATGATGGAAATGTGGCATATGCACAATGGAGTATTACTTACTTAGTCATAAGGAAGAATGACTTTATGGCATTTGCCCATAAATGCACGGAACTGGAGACTACCATGCTAAGTGAAGTAAGTCAGTTCCAAAAAAATCAAAGGTCAAAGATTTTCTCTGACATGTGAAAGGTAATTCCAAATATTAGGAGAGGGATAAAAAAAAGAATAAAAGAAAGATCAGTGGACAAAGGAATAAACAAAGGGGAAAGGAGGAAAAGGAAGAAGGATGGATAAGGCAAGACAATGGAATGAATCTGACCTAACTTTCCTATGTACATATATTAATATACCACAGTGAATCTCACCATCATGTACATCCACAAGACACTAATTTTTTGAAAAACTATGAGTAAACAGCAGAAAGAACTGTAAGTAGAGGGAAGAGAACAGGGGGTAAGAGAATGGGTAGGGAAGGGGAAGTACTGGGAACTCAATTAGAACAAATTATATTCCATTATTTTATAATTACATCAAAATGAATTCTACTCTCATGCCTACATAATTTAAAAAACAATAAAAAGAATCAAATATGGCAATATAACTCAACCATGATTAATTCGGTAAACCATAAAAATGAGAAGAATAGGAGAGAAAGAAATGAACTTAGATCATTAAAAACAACCAGAAGAAAAACAACAAACTGACAGGACAAGTCAATAACCCTAAATGAAAATGGCCTGAATTCTCTAATTAATAAACACAGACTAACTGATTGGATTTTTAAAAGGACCAACTGTTGGCTGTCTGCAAGAAACTCTCCTTGTGAGCAATGATATACAGAATAAACTACCACAGACTGAAAATGAAAAAAATATAGAACAATATTATAATCAAATAGTATCCCAAATCAAGCAGGAATAGCTACACTCATATCTAACAAAATAGAAGTTAAGCCAAAATCAGTCAGAAGAGACAAAAAATGGAATATCCATCAAGATATAAAAATTATAAATATGTATCCAATGAATGTTGGAGCACCAAATTTT